CCCCTGCCGTGCACACTGTGGCTCTAATGAAAATGTTTTAGCTTTTAGTAGGCTGGATATGTATTCTAAGCGGAGTTTGGCTCTAATAGGTAGTCCCTTTAAGTTTCATGGCTTGCAATCATATAGGGTGCTGTTATTTTGCAGCAAGGGTTCCAAAAGCTATGTACAGCCAATCACCGAGTCCTCGACATCCGACTTACATACAAACCCCTAGTTACAGGCAGGCAAGAGGGGGCACCAACAGCACACTGAGCCTTTGCAGTATTTATGTGCACAGGTAAAAATAAACATGTCAAGGTAAGCAACTGTCCAAGTTGCATTAAAAGTAGAACTCCATGTAGATTTTTCTTTTTTTTAGTTTTGGTTAGTATGGTCTGGGGTTGGAGCCACTGTGGGATTTATACTTCTGCATCCTCATTAGAAAGATTTAACCTCACTTTTTGTCTCTGAGACAACAGGAAACTAGTGGAAATCTACCCCCAGGAAGGTAAATCCACTCTTGTGACAGTTATCATGGGAAAAAAGGTATCTCCACCGAAGCTTTAGCAACAATCCTTGTTGCCATAACAACCCAAATTTTTCAAAAACCATTGTCACAGTGACAGAAAGTGAGGTGAAATCTTTTGAACAGGGGCATAGACAGCAAAATAAACGTTACAGAGCTGTTAGCCCTTCCCTATGCTATCCAAAAATAAAATAAAATAGGCTGGAGTTACATTTATAAATGTCCCTGTTCCGACTTACATTCAAATTCAACTTAAGGATAAACCTACATAACCTTTCTTGTCCATAAACTGAGAACTGCCAATATGTCACAAGGAAATCTCAGCACAAGACAGTTAAATGCATCACTCTAAGACAAAGATTGTAGGATGCAATCTGCATAATTCATAACACAGGAAAAGCTGGAACACTGAGAGAGCTACTTCTAAATTTCAGCCCAAGCATTTTTGAATGTTGCAGGGGCAGATGGAAGTAGAATTATTATAAAATATAATAATACTACACATAACTATGTCTTTTTGCTTTGAGCATGTACCATATGCCTACCATAAATTAGTATATCTCATCAGACTCTTGAGATGCTTTTCACGATTCTTTCTTTAAAAGTCTTTTTGTTATTAAAATTAAAACAATGCAAAATATCTGCTTATATTTGATTGCTTATAATGGCTTTTGCATGGACAGCTAAATTGGAATTACCCATCAAAGACTGTACTAACTCTAGTCAAGACAGTATGACTGAAAATAATACACTTTTGTACCAACTTATTATTATTTCATTTATTTATACCCCGCCCTTCTCACCCCGGGGGGGACTCAGGGCGGCTATGAAGATTTGTTCAGAAGATTTTGCTGTCTATGAAGATTGTTCAGAAGATTTCACCTCACTTTCTGTCACTGTGACAATGGTTTTTGAAAAATTTGGGTTGTTATGGCAACAGGATTGTTGCTAAAGCTTCGGTGGAGATACCTTTTTCCCATGATAACTCTCACAAGAGTGGATTTGCCTTCCTGGGGGTAGATTTCCACTAGTTTCCTGTTGTCTCAGGGACAAAAAGTGAGGTTAAATCTTTCTAATGAGGATGCAGCAGTATAAATCCCACAGTGGCTCCAACCACTGTGAGGTTAAATCTTTCTAATGAGGATGCAGCAGTATAAATCCCACAGTGGCTCCAACCACTCTAAAAAAAAGAAAAATCTACATGGAGTTCTACTTTTAATGCAACTTGGACAGTTGCTTACCTTGACATGTTTATTTTTACCTGTGCACATAAATACTGCAAAGGCTCAGTGTGCTGTTGGTGCCCCCTCTTGCCTGCCTGTAACTAGGGGTTTGTATGTAAGTCGAATGTCGAGGACTCGGTGATTGGCTGTACATAGCTTTTGGAACCCTTGCTGCAAAATAACAGCACCCTATATGACCAACTCCTACCAGTCAATAATATTGAACGGAGTAAAAAAAAAAAAAAGACTGGGACATTTGGCTTGCCAATGTCATAACAAATAGCAATATGTGATATTATGTGAAACAAATCAGGGCCTCCAACCAGGCCGGATCAGTTGCACTTATTCTTCTGAGCCAGACAAAGCGTTCGCTGGGTGTTAAAGTGATGGTGACATAAATAGAAGAGCGGCTGACAAAATGATCTGCTGGCATTCAGCCCGTCCTTTTCACAGGTTCTTCACAATGGGTGGGAGAAGTACTTGGAGGATTATGTTATCAGGATACCCTGAGACAAGAAATCTGGCAGTGGTTTGTCAAGCTAGTTGCATCGTTTGTTTTATTATCATTGTTTTTGAAAGTACATTCCTCTTTTTCTGAATACAAAATTAGTATTCGAGAAAACTTCTTGAAGAGGTGCAAATTCTTGGGAATCAGGCATGTTTCCACAACTGGAAAATTTCAAAACTAAATTGCAATGCACAAGTTGCTCATAGACTCGGTTAGGTGCAGGATGGGGTAAGGGTTGATGGCTTCCAAAACGTAGATCAAAGGGTGCATGTACATTGTAGAATTAATGATGTTTGACACCACTTTAAGTGCAATGGTTCAATGCTATGGAATAATCAAAACTGTAATTTTTACAATTACGAACTATACATCTTAATGAGGTCTAAAGCCAGAGCAACCCCCACTGTAGGATCTGTGCTGTTTCTAGTGTCATCTGCCCTGTTTTTCAGTGAGCTTCAGAATACACTGAACATAACTGCACACTGCCACTTTGGCAGAATTGGCCACCTTCAGAGATACATTTAATTAAGTAGCAGAGGGATACTACTAATGGTGGAATCTTAAGCCTCTTGGCTTTGCTATGCTTAAGTGCACTTCTACAGGCAATCCCTGAGTTACAAACATCCGACTTACAAACAACTAATAGTTAACAACAGGGAGTGAGGAATTTACCTCCAGGAAGGGAAATCCACTCTTGTGAGAGTTATCATGGGGAAAAGGTGTCTCAACTGAATATTTCTCACCAATCCTTGTTTCCACAAGCCATTTTTTTTAAAATCGAATGATTACGGGGACAGAAAGTGAAGTGAAATCTTCTGAACAGAGGCACAGACAGCAAAACAAACACCAAACTCTGCTATGAAAAGCTTATATACACATACATACACACACATCATACATATATATACATATATACAGGTACACACATATGCACGCACACATATACATACACACACATGTGTTTGTGTGTGTGTGTGTATATATATATATATATATATATATATATCTGGAGTTACATTTACGTGTTCTGATTTACGACATTTACGTGTTCTGATTTACATACAAATTCAACTTAAGAACAAACCTACAGAACCATCTTGTTCGTAACTAGGGGACTGCCTGTACTTCTGAAATGCCAAATATTAAAAAAATGACACAGCTGAATAAAATCCCACATTATCTGCTTTGAACTGGGATATATGGCAGTGTGGACTAGGGGCTCTTCCAGACAGGCCCTTTATCCCAGGCTCTGATCCCAGGTTTTCTGTTTATTCCAGATTATCTGGCAGTGGGGACCCATATAACCCAGTTTAAAGCAGAAAACCTGGGATCAGATCCTGGGCTATAGGGCCTGTCTGGAAGGGCCCTCAGATAACCCAGTTCAAAGCAGGTATTGTGGAATTTTCTGCCTTGATATTCTGGATTATATGGCTGTGTGGAAGGGCCCTGGGACTGTTTTGATTTTGCCAAGCTGCAATTTTATGACTTCATAGTATTACTGCCGGATATCCCTAGGACCTAAACTGAGGACCATGGGACTACATGTACAAACTTAGCTGAATAACTAACGAAATTAAAAGGTTCTATATTTGTCTTCTAAGGGCCCTATATCCCAGAATATCAAGGCAGAATAACCCACAATTGTTGTTGTTGTTCATTCGTTCAGTCGTCTCCGACTCTTCGTGACCTCATGGACCAGTCCACGCCAGAGCTCCCTGTCGGCCGTCACCACCCCCAGCTCCTTCAAGGTCAGTCCAGTCACTTCAAAGATGCCATCCATCCATCTTGTCCTTGGTCGGCCCCTCTTCCTTTTGCCTTCCACTTTCCCCAGCATAATTGTCTTCTCTAGGCTTTGCTGTCTCCTCATGATGTGGCCAAAGTACTTCAACTTTGTCTCTAGTATTCTTCCCTCCAGTGAGCAGCCGGGCTTTATTTCCTGGAGGATGGACTGGTTGGATCTTCTCGCAGTCCAAGGCACTCTTAGAACTTTCCTCCAACACCACAGCTCAAAAGCATCGATCTTCCTTCGCTCAGCCTTCCCTAAGGTCCAGCTCTCACATCCGTAGGTTACTACAGGGAATACCATGGCTTTGACTAGGCGGATCTTTGTTGCCAGTCTGATGTCTCTACTCTTTACTATTTTATCGAGACTGGACATTGCTCTCCTCCCAAGAAGGAAGCGTCTTCTGATTTCCTGGCCACAGTCTGCATCTGCGGTAATCTTTGCACCTAGAAATACAAAGTCTGTCACGGCCTCCACATTTTCTCCCTCTATTTCCCAGTTGTCAATCATTCTTGTTGCCATAATCTTGGTTTTTTTTATGTTTAGCTGCAGCCCAGCTTTTGCGCTTTCTTCTTTCACCTTGATTAGAAGGCTCCTCAGCTCCTCCTCGCTTTCGGCCATCAGAGTGGTGTCATCTGCATATCTGAGGTTGTTAATGTTTCTTCCAACAATATCTGCTTTGAACTGGGATATCTGAGTCCACACTGCTATATATTCCAGTTCAAAACAAGATAGTGTGGGATTTTGTTCAGCTGTGTGGAAGGGGCCTAAGAGTTCACTTCCCACTACTCAAAGCTTGTCTGGGGCTTCAATTCTTGGGCTAGGAAGAGTAAGCAAAGTCTGCCCCTGAAGCCCAAGGCTTGTCTCACTTTAACAGCCTATGTTCGGGGAGCCTTTTCCCGCCACGCGACCCCCTCTCTGGCTGAGAGACCCTGTGTGTGGGACTGGCCCAGGACCAGGTTTCTTAAGGAGCGACTCTGCGCCTGCGCCTAGGCTCCCGGCCACGCCCCTTGTTGCTACGGCAACGAACGACGGCGGCAGCGGCTGCCTGTCTTGAAGGCCTCATGTCCCTACCGGAGCCGGTCAGGCGTCGGCTCAACTCTTTCAGCCGCACGGTCTTTACTGACAACAGCCGCACGGGGCCCGAGAGCGGAGGCGACGACGTTCCGGGTGAGGGGAGGGGCGGTGTTTCGCCAGCTCCAAAGATGGCGACGAAGGTGGCAAGGGGTTGGAAAGGAGCCTCAAGGCGGAAAGGGTGGACGGTGGCTCGAGGCCTTGTGTGTCGTCGTTTGACCTGAGAGCGCGAGGAGCAGCACGCGCCAGTAAAAGGGGAGGGGAGGGGGAGGAGGAGAAGCCCCTCCCTTCTTGGTCCCCACTCTCCCTGCTTACTGGTCGGACAGTGCAGCTCACGCCGGGTCTGCGGCCTAACACCCCAACTTCTTGTTCCTGGCTCTTCGGAAACAGCACACATTTTCCCTAAAATTGTTCTACAATACCATACAATCCATTTTAAAGCAGATAATCTGGGGGGCCTTCCAGACAGGCCCTATATCCTTGGATCTGATTCCAGGTTTTCTCTTTATCCCAGATTATCTGGCAATGCAGACTCATATAATCCAGTTTAAAGCAGAAAACGCGGAATGAGATCCCGGGATATAGAGCCTGTCAAAAAGGGCACTTGATCATATGGGGCCTTAGGCTAGATCTACACTGCCCCCATATCCAGGATCTGATCTCATATAATCATAATCATAATAATGGGTTGTAGGTTTTTTCGGGCTGTATGGCCATGGTCTCTGGAGCCGCTGGTGGCGCAGTGGGTTAAAGCACTGAGCTGCTGAGCTTGTTGATCGAAAGGTCGCAGGAGCAGCGTGAGCTTCCGCTGTCAGCCCTAGCTTCTGCCAACCTAGCAGTTCGAAAACATGCAAATGTGAGTAGTTCAATAGGTACCGCTCCGGCGGGAAGGTAATGGCGCTCCATACAATCATGCCGGCCACATGACCTTGGAGGTGTCTATGGACAACGGCGGCTCTTCGGCTTAGAAATGGAGATGAGCACCACACCCCAGAGTCAGACACAACTGGACTTAATGTCAGGGGAAAGCCTCTACACCCAACACTGCTGGAATCGTGTCAGAAGTAAATTAAGAATTTGTTGTTGTTGTTCACTCTTCGTGACCTCATGGACCAGCCCACGCCAGAGCTCCCTGTCGGCCGTCACCACCCCCAGCTCCTTCAAGGTCAGTCCAGTCACTTCAAGGATGCCATCCATCCATCTTGGGCGGCCCCTGATGGGCTTTGCCTTTTCCTTTCCATCTTGTGGGGGGGGTGTTGCTTGGCTTGTGTGTTGGGGGGTCTTGGGTTGGTGGTCGGTGGGCTTGAGGTTGGTTGGTGGGTGGGTGTTGTTGTTGTTGTTCATTCGTTCAGTCATTTCCGACTCTTCGTGACCTCATGGACCAGTCCATGCCAGAGCTCCATGTCAGCCGTCACCACCCCCAGCTCCTTCAAGGTCAAGCCTGTCACTTCAAGGATGCCATCCATCCATCTTGCCCTTGGTCGGCCCCTCTTCCTTTTGCCTTCCACTTTCCCCAGCATGATTGTCTTCTCTAGGCTTTGCTGTCTCCTCATGATGTGGCCAAAGTAATTAAGAATTAATTACTACAATTATATATATATATATATATATATATATATATATATAAATGTAATGTTCGCTTGTGGGATTAACAGAACTCAAAAACCACTGGACAAATTGACACCAAATTTGGACACAAGACACCTAACAACCCAATGTATGTCCTTCATTTAAAAAAAATGATTTTCTCATTTGGGAGTTGTTGCTGGGATTTAGAGTTCACCTACAATCAAAGTGCATTCTAAACCCCACCAATGAAACTTGGCACAAATACTCAGTATGCCCAAATGTGAACACTGGTGGAGTTTGGAGAAAATAACCTTGACACTTGGGAATTGTAGTTGCTGGGAGTTATAGTTTACTTACAATCAAAGAGCATTCTGAACTCCAGCAATGGAATTGAACCAAACTTGGCACACAGTTCTCCCATGACCAACAGAAAATACTGGAAGGGTTTGGTGGGCAGTGTCCTTTGGTTTTGGAGTTGTAGTTCACCTACATCCAGAGATCACTGTGGACTCAAACAATGATGGATCTGGGCCAAACTCTACACAAATACTCAATATGCCCAAATGTGAACACTGGTAGAGTTTGGGAAAATAGAATCTTGACATTTGGGAGTTGTAGTTGCTGGGATTTATAGTTCACCTACAATCACAGAGCATTCTGAATCCAACCAACGATAGAATTGGGCCAAACCTCCCACACAGAACCCCCATATGGGCCACAGCAACGCGTGGCAGGGAACAGCTAGTAATGTATAAAAAACACAAAGTTCAAAACTTGGCATTATATTAAATTTCCTTTGACCAGAGGCTGGCCATTTGGAGTGCCTCTGGTGTCACTGTGAGAAGGTCCTCCATTGTGCATGTGGCAGGACTCAGGTTGCATTATAGCAAGTGGTCTGTGGTTCTTCTCCGCACTCACATGTCATGGACTCCACTTTATAGCCCCATTTCTTAAGATTGGCTCTGCATCTCATGGTACCATAGCGAATACGCATGCTCAGTGTAGAATGCATCTCACCACATTAAAATAGTGGATGTGACTCTTAATAAGTCATGCCACGTTATCACAGGATGTCTATGCCCTTGATCGCAGGAGAAATTATACTGTTTAGCTGGTATTGCACCACCTGACATCTTTCGGGAAGTAGCAGCCAGTAATGAAAGGACCAAGGCGTTGATGTCTCCGGCCCATCCTCTGTTCAGATGTCAGCCAGAACGCCAAAGTCTTAAATCAAGAAATAACTTTCTAAGATATACAGAGGTACTTGCAGGAACACCTCAGCAAGTGAGAGTCCACAGTGGCAGTCTAAGACCCAGAACCTCAATCAGTGGCTGATACCAGATGAGAGACTCCCTCCTGGGCACACAGAAGACTGGATGACTTGGAAGGCGCTGAACAGACTACAATCTGGAACCATGAGATGCAGAGCCAACCTTAAGAAATGGGGCTACAAAGTAGAGTTCATGACATGCGAGTGTGGAGAAGAGCAAACCACAGACCACCTGCCCTGCCATATGCACAATGGAGGACCTTCTCACAGTGACACCAGAGGCACTCCAAGTAGCCAGCTTCTGGTCAAAGGAAATTTAGTATAATGCCAAGTTTTTAAACTTTGTTTGTGTTTTTAATACATTTTAACTGTATTCTCAATTCACTTCTGACATGATAAATAAATAAACGTGGATTATCTGATTTGATAATCTGGATTAAAGGCAGTGTAGAAGGGGCCAAAGAGGGGTTTTTTTTGCCCACTACTTCCCCTGGAGTAGAGTCCACAATTCCTGATATCCGTGGTGGCTTCCCACCCAGGTCTTAACCAAAGATGACCCTGCCTAGGCCCCTTCTACATTGCCATCTAATCCAGATTATCAAATGATATTATCCACATCTGCTTTGAACTGGATTATATGTGTCTACATTGTTATATAATCGAGTTCAAAGCAGATAATCTAGATTTTATTTGGCAGTGTAGAAGATCTGTTTATTAACCTTATCAGCCATAAAGGACAAAAATACACAGACAAAAGGACAATAATCCTAGAACTCCTGTAATAGTTAACTAAAATAAATTAAAACACAATAAAACTCAAATAATAAATTTGGTAAAATAGGATTATATTACAAGATGAAGGGGGGCGGGGTAGAGTGACGAGTGTAATAGAATCAGTCAGAGAATTTAGATAAGTTCATTGCCAAGGACAAGTTCAAGGAGGTGGTATGTGGGAAAAGGCCCTACCTTTAGGGCATTTAGATATTTATGGTATTTATATTGACCCATTTTCTCTGGTTATTCTCAAAGGTTAAAACAGTGACATCTCAAGAAGAATGTTTCAACCCAACCCTGTGCATACTCTGAAGGTTCAGTGGGACTTAGTCCAATATAAATATACCAATAACTACCTCCAACACATAGGAGAGAGTATTTATCAAGTGTAATAACAGTAATAATAGGACAAAAGTGGCTGATGAGGCTTTCTCTTTGTGTCTCTCTAGATATTGAAATAGTTTCCAGTTTACCTTTGCAGATGTCCCTCTATTTCAACCTCTGCTTTTTTCCATTTTGGTGGCTGAGCAATATCCTCATGTTGCAGCTGAAGGTGAGTACTCAAGACCCTAATATCTTCATAATGTCCATTACACAAATTAGTGATTTCTCATTAGAATACTGCAGTTATTATATATTAAGATTTCTGCTGAAAATGTTCTCAATGATAGATTTGTTGCAGACAGGTTTGGAAATAGATTACATTAAGAAAAAAATATGATTACCTTCTTGGTGTGGCTTCACAATGTACTATATTAGCAAGATGACCTTGTTTGAGTGAAATAATTATATTTTCCCTCCCATCTCTAGTATCCAGTCTTACCTGACTACTACAAGTTCATCCTTGTGACAATTGCTATATTAACGTCTCTGATTGAGATTATCCGCCTATACCTAGGATACATGGGAAATTTGCAGGAGAAGGTATGTTCACATTTTTTTGGGATCACAATTCTGAACAACTGAAAAAAACTGCTCTGAATTAGTTTAAACCAAATAAAGGAGTATTTCAAATCTGAACTGAGAGCCTCCTTGTTAGATTCAGTGAATCCATAATATATGTTGCAACCGGGTTGTTGTAGGTTTTTTCGGGCTGTATGGCCATGGTCTAGAGACATTCTCTCCTGACGTTTCGCCTGCATCTATGGCAAGCATCCTCAGAGGTAGTGAGGTCTGATGTTGCAACCGTTCGTAAATTACAACTTCCACAAATAAAGGACTAAGAATGTAATAGCTGGACTCAGATTTATTGCAATTCAAATATATGTCAATACCATTGTGTTGGATCCCACAACTGCCCAATCAATTACACAAGTGATGATGATCTAGTAGTGGTTCTCAACCTGGGGTCCCCAGATGTTTTTGGCCTGCAACTCCTAGAAATCCTAGCAGCTGGTAAACTGGCTGGGATTTCTGGGAGTTGTAGGCCAAAAACATCTGGGGACCCCAGGTTGAGAACCACTGATAGTTCATTTATATGTTGTCTTCTTCTTAGAATGAGATTCAAAGGACCTCACGGAAAGAATTAGCTAAAACACAAGTAAAATAATCCGATAAAGCACTAGATTAATAGCAATATAAAATTATTTCAAGAACATAAATGCAGTAATACAGCCCAATAAGACCCCCACAGTTGAACACTGTGAAAGCCATCCACTGCATGGCTACAGTCTCCTCACAGTAGACTCAAATCAAGGAAAAGCTTCATGAGAACCACCACTCCTCTTAATGTTCCCCCAGCAACAGCAAGAGCATCCCTCTGGGCGGCTAAAGCAGGATGGCCCCCATGATGTCTTCCTCCAGGGGCAAACCAAGAACAGGCAACTTGGAAGTCCCTGAACAGACCCAGAAGTGGAGTGGGCAGATCAAAAGGCAACCTGGCAAAATGGCATTATCTAGAAGAATCCTCCACCTTGATTGACTGTGGAACAAACAACTCAGCATCTGTATGCATGTCCACAATGCCCTGCCTCATACACAGAGGAAGAATTGCTTAAAGCTACAGATAATGCAGTCATTGTTGCCTGGTTTTGGTCTAAAATTATTTAGCCACTCATGTTCCCTCTATTTTATCAGTTTTATATTTATTTATGCAATGTTTTTGACACAAAATAAATAAAATAAAGCCCTCCTGCAAGCAAGTACTGATTAAAAACCAACTTAAACTGCCAGCAAGAGCACAGGGAGGGTGCCATCCTTACCTCCTGTGGAATGGGACCCCAGAGATTAGGTGTAGTCTCTGAGAAGGCTCTCCTGTGTTCTCATCAAGGGATTCTGAGATGATAGCAGGACTGAGGGAAAGGCCTATGCTCGGGATCCTAAGGCTTTGGCAGATTTGTATAGGAAGACAAGCTGTACAGGATTTTATAGATATGGCCAGCATTTCCAATTGTGCCTGGAAATGAACTGGTAGCCATTGAAACCGTTTTAACAAGGAAGTTATATGCTTCCTTTAACAGACCCCAGACAGCATTCTGCCTGCATGTTGGACTCACTGAAGTTTCTGAATAGTTTTCAGAGCATACAGAATGTGTCCTGGTAGTCCAAACAATGTGTAAATAAAGGCATGTGTTACCATAGCTAGCTCTGACTTCTTGAGGAATGAGTGAAGTTGATGCACTAGTCTTAGCTGTGCAAAGGCTCTCCTGGACACTTCTGAAACCTGGGCACCCAGGCCCAGTTCTGAGCTCAAGATTATACCCAAGCTGCAAACCTGAGATTTCAAAGTGTAACTCCATCCAACAAATGGTAAATCCAGATTTCCTGAACTGCCTTCAGATGGACCACTTTCATCTGTCTTGTTTGGATTACGTTTCAGTTTGCGAGCCTTCATTCAGTCCATTCCTGGATTCACCACAACAGTTAGAGTTGGATGGAGAGGAGAGAGAGTTGTATCTCTTCAATGTATTGGTGACACAAAACTCCAGAATTTCTGGTGACCATTCCCAGCAGCTTCAATACATGTCAAATAGCAGAACTCAATGCTGAGGGTTCCCATAACTGCAATCATTAGAGTGTTGAATAAGAGACCGTCTTCTAAGTTCCTGCCTCTAGGAAGGCCGGGAATCTTCTGCAGGTCCCATCCCACAGAGGCGGCCCAGAAAGAGTCCATGGTCACTGGTATTGGGAGCTGCTAAGAGGAACATCAGAACCAAGTGGGACACAACTGCGGAGATCATCATTGAAGGCAATCAACGATTCTTTATTGATTAGTCAATTTTGACCATATCAAAACGTGCAAAACATACAAAACATACACACTTGCCCATACATACAGTAAAACCATATATGAATACAAGGCATCCCGGCCTAATGGCCTGTCGACCCACTCTTAAATGATGGTGCAACTACAAGATTAAAAGATTAAAAATTGATTAATTCCTTAAAGTAGGGATTTGGCGGGGCGCGGGTAGGTAAAACTAGTGGCATATCCATTGAAGGCAATCAAAATTGCCTCTATCCCATAACGAGGCCTGATACCAGGTTATAATGGATATAGATAATTACTGGTATTTCATCTAAAGCTGGGAAACAGCACGCTTTGTAGGATCTTTCTCAGGAAAAGAATACTTCAACTTGGCCTATAATGGATGATGGGATTCAGGGATATTTTGGATTTTTTAGTAATGGGCTAATCACAGCCTTGTTATTGTGTTCTTGTCTCTCCCCTTGTAAAAAAACATGGCCACTTTTTCTACCTTTTTGTTGTTTCTGCCTCCCTGCTCGGGGGGAGGGGGGTGCATGACCAGAACCCATTCCTTGAACTCGAAGTCCCTTTGTTACAAACCTGAAGTGGGACAGATGAGAATAGAATCAAGTCAACTTTCCATCTGCTGCTGTTCAGAGTCACTAAGAGATGTGATTCTTCTTGTTAAAAGTGGACAGTTTTTATCTATTCTCTCAATTCAGCTAACATTGTCTTGTCTTATTTATATTCACTTCTTTCCTCCCTGTCATTGGAACAATATAAAGTATGACACCTGTCAAAACATGTAATTGAAAACTCTAATAATGGCAATTCAACTTGTTGACAAAATTGTCATAACAGTAACAATAGGGCAAAAGCGGTATCTGCAGAAAAGAAAAGACGGAGTGGAATTCTCATAATGTGTCACTGAGAAGCTGTCCACTGAAGGTCCCAGGTTTTTATTTTATCTTTGACTCTGCATTTAGCCTTCTATGCCATTGTGTTCTTTGATTGATTTGTAATGTTGTCAGGAGGAAGTACATTGATAATTATTTCCTCTATTCAAAGGTTCCAGAGCTAGCTGGATTTTGGCTCCTGAGTATTCTTTTGCAGCTGCCCTTAATTCTCTTCCTGCTTTTAAACGAAGGTCTGAAGATCCAACCACTGGAACGAGCAGTGAACATCATCTTTATAGTGTTCCTTGCGTTCCAAGTCATTTCTGCCTTCCTTGCCCTCAAAAAAATGGTGAACCAACTGGCAACTCGTTTCCACCTTCATGAATTTGACCAACTAGGTGATGATTTGTCCTCTGAGAAGCGGGTCTGGAAGAAAGGAAGGCTGGAAACCTCATGGGTTATGAGCCCCCCTATAGAAGAAATTTCCTCAGCAAGTGGTGGATGGGGACCTTCCCTGAGAACTTGAGGGTCACGAGGAAGCCATGCCCGATGCCATTTTTTGTGCCTTTATTGTTTGTGTTTTGGAGAACCCAACTTATGCATTCCTCAAAAACACCTACTCTTCTGTAAGGAGTTTGTGGGATAATACTGCTGTGGTTACAAACTTCAAGATGTAACATTAGAATGTTACATCTTGATTCACAAGCATGATTCACAAGTTGATGAGTAGTCTTCTGTTCACTCTTACTCATTTTATGTCTTGGATTATCCGTGTAGATGTCTTCATCGTCATTTTTCAATTGTTGACAAATATTCTGCTTTAGCAGTTGAATTTCACAGTTCTTTTTGGAAATCTGGGCAGAATGAAGATGTGTTTGAAACTGTATTTTTTATTGAAATTGGTTATATTCTTACTATTTCAATAACATTCAAATAATTTTTTATACAAATAAAATATTTTTTGGTTTAATGTATTGTATTTGTTCTAACCTTTTAACTGATAATTACAAGCTAGCCTTTCCCACTGAAAGGTACCATACTTAGAATCATAGAGTTGGAAGAGACCTTGTGGGCCATCCAGTCCAACCCCCTGCCAAGAAGCAGGAAAATCACATTCAAAGCATCCCTGACAGATGATCATCCAGCTTCTGTTTAAAAGCCGCAAAGAAGGAGCCTCCACCACACTCTGGGGAAGAGAGAGAGAGTTCCACTGGTGAACAGCTCTCACAGTTAGGAAGTTCTTCCTCGTGTTCAGGTGGAATCTCCTTTCCTGTAGTTTGAAACCATTGTTCTGCGTCCTAGTCTCTAGGGCAGGAGAAAACATGCTTGTTCCCTCTTCCCTATGACTTCTCACATATTTATACATGGCTATCATGTCTCCTCTCAGCCTTCTCTTCTGCAGGCTAAACATGCCCAGCTCTTTAAGCTGCTCCTCATAAGGCTTGTTCTCCTGACCCTTGATCATTTTAGTCGCCCTCCTCTGGACGCATTTCAGCTTGTCAAAATTTCCCTTCAATTGTGGTGCCCAGAACTGGACACAATATTCCAGGTGTGGTCTAACCATGGTAGAATAGAGGGCAAGCATGACTTCTCTGGATCTAGACACTATACTCCTATTGATGCAGGCCAAAATCTCATTGGCTTTTCAAGCTGCTGCATGACATTGTTGGCTCATGTTCACCTTCCTCCCCATGAGGTCTCCAAGATCTTTTTCACACGTACTGCTCTCGAGCCAGGCATTGTCCCCCATTCTGAATCTTTGCATTTCTTTTTTTCTGCCTAAGTGGAGTGTCTTGCATTTGTCCCTGTTGAACTTCCCCCAACGCACATTGTTTCTCCGTAACAAGAGAGACATCGTAAGGTCTGTACCATCTCTCCATACACTTGAAATAGGATTGGTCAGATGGACTTCTCCAGGAAAGTGCTTGAGAGAGTTCTGTAATGACATAGAGCAAATGTGAAAGATCCTCAGAAACAATATGAAAGTTTTAATTTCCAGCAGCTCAATTTTGTTGTCCTCATTTTGTGCCAATACATGCTAGTAAACTAAGTCTAGCTACTTCACAGTCCCATTTATTCCCTAGCTTTGAAACACTTCTGAAAATTGAGTATAACACAATTTAGGGATAGGGGTTATTTTTTTATCCATTTAGATGTAAATAGACAAAGCAGTGAGTCTTAATTCAAATACTTTGTAGTGCCATTCTGTGATTTTGATTTAAGATGAGAAAATATGAGAAGAGTAAACTGGAATTGTGATTCATCATTTCAACCTTTTTAATGTGTGGGTTTTTTCCCCCTGGTATTTATGTACTGGTGCCATCAAATGGAAACCTGCCAGTGGTTCCTGGAAAATGACTTTGTGTCACTTTGCCATACAGAATAAAAATCTTTGCATTGTCATGCAGTTCTTACAAATACATATACAGGGTGAGACAGCATAACTTCCTTTTTTCAAAACTTAATAAAGCCCATTGTATGAATCGGATTTTTTTTAATAATGTAGGCGCATACCTAAAGTTTTGTTTTATGTCGTTTTGAAGATCAAATTAGGTAGGTGACGTCCCCCATTCTCCATTCTCCATACACTGAGTAATCTGATTTCTGGCATTTGCCAGCATAGCAGGCGTTATGTTGGCAGTTTCTTCCTGGATGTTGGTCTTCAAATCTTGTAGGGTCCTTCGACGGTTCACATAAACACAAGACTTCAAAAAAACCCATAGAAAAAAATCACAAGGGACCAAATCTGGAGAGCGGGCCGGCCACTCCAAATCTGCTTGAAAAGTAGGCCTCAACGGCAAAAACAAGCTCCTCACTGTTCCAACGTATGATGGCGACTGGACAAAACTTTATACTCCCGCCTCTCGAACAAGACCACTAGCGATCCACTATGTCTTCAACCGATTGAATGGCGCGCATTTAAAAAAAGGAAGTTATGCTGCCTCACCCCGTATCAAGAACACATACCGCACTGAAAATGATTTAACTGACTTTAGTCCATTCTCAAAAAACTTCCCCTGTGCTTGTAATGGAAAATTCATACAGCTTCCCTGTGCTGTCGCACGCTGGGCCTATGCATAAGACTGTAGACAGGACATAAATTCCATGTGCCCAGCGGGATGCCGGGGCTGCCTCAGATTAGAGGCTCTTGGATTTATTTAAAACAGAGTCTTTAGATTGCTTAAAGGTTCAACAAAGTTCTTTATTAAGGAAAACAAACAGGTACTTTAAGGCTTTCTTAACAGTCTATTGGCTCTCTCTCAATCTTGTCCACAGGGAACAGGCACTATCTTCATAACTGTAACTAATGGGGAAATCCTTAACTTCTAATCTGGGCAGTCTGTTGGCGTGGAGCCCCTGCACCCGGTACCAACTGCTTCTGGCTTCCGAGAGTGATCCTTACCAAGCAGAGCTTTGTAGACTTCCAAGGGAAAACGAGTTCAGGTTTCGGTGATGGCTGGCTGAAGTCCCTCAGCGAAGGAGCTGTAAGGCTGTATATCTTCCGGCCAAGCTGTGGGGCTGTATCTCCCCGGCCAAGCCGTAGAAGATGAAGCTTTCTACATGAGCTCTTGGTATTATGTCCTGCATGGAAAGCTTCTCTGTGTGGACTGAACCCAAACTGGCTCCTATTCCCTCCAAAACCCAAAGGGGGCGGGACCAGGGAACCTAACTATAATTGACAGGTGGCTTGCCCTATGATTGCAGCCAAAAGAAGCCACCTATCTGCAGAGTCCCTGAAACTTAGGACTACAAACAAACATTCAATGCAAAGCAAACAAAATTGGAGCTCCTGGTACAGTTGTACCTGCACATTCCCTGAAATCCACTAGTGGTAAAGTCCCTTGTGGAAACTGGAAGATCAACACCGCCACCTCTCTTCCTATTTGCTATGAAGAAATGTGAATAGATCAACTAGAGCAATGACATGACAAGATAACTTGCCATAGTTCATTTGCAGCTTTACTAAAACTTTAGGCTTCAAATTTAAGGATGTCGCCAATTTTTAGCCTGAAAGTATTTTTTTCATGTTAATTTGCAATTCAGCAGAGCAAAGCTGGCATTCATTTTGGCTTTCCAAGAAGCTTTTACATAATAAACGTGATTTTACACATTTAGCATGACTCTGATATAGTTAAGTTCCTTGCTATGACACTATTTGTACTTACCCAGACTTAATTTTCAAACATTATTTTATGTTAAGATGCCAACAATGCTCCTCCACTTCTTTTCTTTCTCTGTTATCTTTAACAGATGATGTCGACGGTGTTTCATTTCCCCGGGGGGAATTTAGTTATTTTGTTCCACACAGTTGTTATGAGATTCATGTCAGTTTAACTCGGGAGATTAGCATTACGGAGGGAAAGTAAGATTAGCATTGTAGGGAAAACTTTCCGAAGATTGTGATTTATTCAGTATGACCAATTTAGAGGTTCATTTTCTATCCTCCCTTATCAATAATGGCATCTTCAAGGGGCATAGCCTTTTATTGGAAAATGTGGAATTTCTCTCTGGTGATGAGAAAAATGCAATGCTAACTGTCAAGATGTGATGCTAACCCCTGGCCATGCCTTTGTGTCTCTGACCAGCAACCTGAATGAAAGAGCACGAAGAGAAGCAGTCAGCCTCTTAAAGGGGGTGAAATACACACTAGTAGCTGGAGAAGGGAGAATGGACAAAATTAAAGGGTGAGGGAAAGTAAATTACAAGAATGAGTGATAAGGCACAAAAAGGATTAACCAGGCTGGTCGCAGTCAGCAAGAGCCAAAAGCAACACAATCGAAACTGGGTCATTGAGTTGGGACAGCCCTAGGATATAAAGGGCAGAAATGAAGGAAAGCCCGGATTATTTTGTTCTTCAATATTGAATTTCCCCCCTAGAAGCATGGGGCATGAAATATGATACTGATAAGCCAAGATTGAAAACAGAGCTGTAAAAGAAAGAAAGAAAGAAAAAGTCTTGAAGGGATTCTGCAAAATTTGCTAGGAGAATAATTTAGTTTGGTGCTAGCCATCGCCAAGAGTAAATTGACCCATAAATTATGTTGTACAAAATTTGAATGACTTCCAGTTTCAAATGTAATAATAAATAGGAGCAATTTGTAAGCACAGATTTTAGTTGGACCCGTGACCAATAGAACTTTTGAATACTTAGGTTTGACTGATTTTGTGTTCACTGTGTTAAAAATGTAAGTCACATTTAGTGCTGGTTTCTGTGTTGTGTACTAAAGCTCAAGCTGAAAACTATTCAAGCTAAAAATGAAGCATTAGTTCTAAAGAAGTTTTAATTAAAGGAAGTGGCCCTTCAGAACTAATTACGAATGTAAGTGTGATTGTTTTACATCTACCACGTCTATTTAATTACTTACCATTTTGGCTATTTATATAAATAAAAATGTAATGTTCGTTTGTGGGATTAACATAACTCAAAAACCACTGGATGAATTGACACCAAATTTGGACACAAGACGCCTATCAGGCCAATGAATGACAATCACTCATAAAAACACTGGAAAACAGCAGAAGAGACTTAAAAAGGCAAAATACAAAAAATACAAAACTACACACACACACATGTATATATGCAGACACATGTATATACACATATACACAAATATATACACACACATATACATACAGAAAACATATACACAGACTGGGCCACAGCAATGCATGGCAGGGGACAGCTAGTCTATATAAATAAAAATGTAATGTTCGTTTGTGGGATTAACACAACTCAAAATCCACTGGACGAATTGCCGCCAAATTTGGCCACAAGACACCTACTACTAACGCAAGGAGTGACCATCACTAAAAAAAATAGATTTTGTCATTTGGGAGTTGTTGCTGGGATTTATAGTTTACTTACAATCAAAGAGCACTCT